GCAAGTGCAGCAGCAACAACAGGAGCACTTGGGACGAGAACAGTTGTCCCACGAGCAGCAGCAGCAGCAGCAGCAGTGCTTGCAGCAGAAAGGCCAGCGTCAGCAGCAGCGTCACTGGGAGGAGCAGCTGCCGCAGCAGCAGCGGCGGCAGTATTCGCAGCAGCAGCAGCAGCTGCTGCTGCTGCTGCTGCTGCTGCTGCGTACAGCAGGCGCTCCCCGCACAGTACCCAGCCTCCGCACCTCCACCGACCCAGACTAATTGGAATAAATAAATAAATAATTAAATTAAATAAATAAATTAAATAAACAAATTAAATAAATAAGGTAAATAGTAAATTAAATAAATAAATAAATAAATGAATAATTCGCATCTTTGTGGCAGCGGAAAGGAGACAGCAGAACGCCTCTTTCTGTCTCTTTTTGACTCGGAGCCAAAGTGCAGTTTCCCCGAGGACTCAACTTCTCTTTCAAATATCTTTTGCTGCGGTTGCTGCTGCTGCTGCTGTTGCTGCTGCTGCTGGTGCTGCCGCTGGTGCTAGCGCTAGTGCTGCTGCTGCTGGAGCGCTAGTGCTGCTGCTGCTGGTGCCGCAGTCATTTCTGGTTTTGCAGCTGCTGCTGCAGGTCTTGCTGCTGCTGCTGCAGCTCCTGCTGCTGGTGCTGCTCCTACTGCTGCTCCTGCTGCAGGTCCTGCTGCTGCTGCTGCTGCTGCTGCTTCATTTTCTTTATGAGTTCTTGGCCAAAAACGCGGAGGTCTTCGGCCTCTGCTGCCATCTCCTCATGCGTGCGCGCCCTGCAGCAAAGAAGAAAAAGTAAAATAATAAATAAATATAAAATAAATAGATAAAAAATAAATAAATAAAAATAAACAAATAATAGGATGAATAGACAGCAAGCAGCAAATGCTGCAGCTAAGTAGAAGTGGCTCCAGAAGGAAAAATAGAAAAGCGAAAGAAAACATTAGAGGCACAATCCGCAGGCTCTAAACCCTAAACCCTAAACCCTAGCCCTTCTCTGAAGCCCAAAGGCTAGGCCCCGAAGCCCTTCTTAAACCCTTAAACCCTCGCCCTCGCCCGCCTCCCCCACCCCCCAAACCCTAAACCCTAGTAAACCCTAGACCCCAAACCCTCGCTCCCAAACCCCAAACCCTCCTTCCCAAACCCCAAGTCCCACTCCCACCCCCAAACTTCGTCCCCACCCCTCAACCCCAAACCCAAACCCCAAACCCTAAACCCTAAACCCTAAACCCTAGGCCCTGCTGACGGTCTGTCTGGACAGTCGGTTCTGGGGCTGGGGGGCGCTTGGGAGGTGCGCTCGAGGTGTCTGTACACCTCGTCGTTGGGCTCGAAGTCCCCCGGGTGTCTCGGCAAAATGTGCAAATGAAAGTGAGGGACAGATTGTCCTGCTGCTGCTCCATCCTGTAGAGACACCGTAAGGGCGTCTCGGGTGTATCGACAGCTCAGCAGCCACCCCACACTCTGCGCGGCCGCCAGCAGGTCCCCCAGCTCCTCCTCCGACAGTTCGCACAGCCGCTGCAAACGACAAAAGTTCGCCAAAGGCCCTTTAAATGCACCATTTTCTCCCAAGTTCCTCTTTATTTGTTCAATTAGTTTTAAAGTCCTTTTATTTACTTCCGAACACTCTTTTTCGCGCCCCCAAACTCCCCAGGGGGCCCCAACGCCTTCTCAGGGGGCCCCCGGACACTTTCGCACAAAAGGCCCTTAAAAGGGCCCTTTTGTCTCCACTTTTTGGAGGTTTTGGCTCTGCTGCAGCCCCTCTATTCTCTTTTATGTCTTCTCCTTTCTAAGCCGCTTTTGAAAAACCCAAAAATCCTCAAAACGAAAACTCATGACTCCAACTCGCTGCGCTGCGCGAGGTGTACGTACACCCCAGCCAATGGCTGCGTGAGGTGTACGTACACCCGAATGCACAGGCGCCTGTTTTTTCAAACACTTTCTGGAAGACAAATTTAGAAATTCAGAGCCCACACACTTCAAATAAGTAAACAATAAAAGCTCCATTTCCATAATGCATGCAACCTGCTGCTTCCCGCTGCTGCAGCAGCCTTGCTGCTGCAGCAGCAGGGCTGCGTTTAAATCGTCCATTTGCTGCTGCAGCAGCGAATGGACTGCTGCAGCAGCAAATGGACTGCTGCAGCAGCAAATGGACAATTTAAACGTTTGACAAACACCATTTTCTGCTCTTTGCCTTCTCAAACAACCCCAATTTAGAATTAAATTGAACATTTTCTCGTCTTTTAATTCATTTTAAATCCTTTTAATTTTGACATATTTCCCTCTCTGCGCTAAAGCCCGTGTTTTGGGGTGTACGTACACTCGGGGAGCCAAGTGCAGCAAACGCGCATGCAAATTAGAAACGTAAAAGGACTAAAGATGAAGCGAAAGGCCTTTTTAATTAACGCACTAAATCGAAAATAAATAAAAAACAAAATTCATTTGGCATTTTTTTGCGTCAGTCCGAAAGAAAACAAAAAACAAGACATTTTTTTTGCATACACCGCAGGAAGTAGTGCGCAGCTGTACATACACCTGGACATGCAGGAAGGTAATTAAGGAATTAAATAAATAAAATAAATCTTTCAAATAAATAAAGATAAAAAGACTTCTTTATTTGCGGAAGTGGCATGCAAATGGCCAAAAAGACTCAAACACCAGTGCATGCAAGTACACCGTTTGCAGAAAAATATCATAGCATTTTTAAATTTCGCATGCAAATGGACGAAAACAGGAAATAAATAAAATTCAAATTCGCATTTGAATGTATTTGCACTCTGCAGCATTTTCGAGTGCATGCATTTGCAAAGAGCCAAAAATAAAATTTCAAAAAACCGAAAAAAGTTGGATTTTTCCCCAAGTCCCAGAGGGCCAAATAGCTCGCAAAGTGCACTTATTTGCGTTTAATTAAACAGCTTTATTAGAGACTTATTGGCGAGAAAAGAAACAGAAAAAAGAAATTTAAATAAAATCCAAAAACTGAAAATGAACTGCTGCGGTGGCTACGGCGCAAAAAGAAACACTCGGCGCGCGGCGGCGTGGCCCAATGGATAGGGCGTCTGACTTCGGATCAGAAGGTTGTGGGTTCGAGTCCCATCGTCGTCAGTTCGTTTTTCGTTCAAATTCGAGACTGAAGGGACCAAAATGCCGGAATTTTGGCGGGGAATTTGGAAATAAAGTTAATTTTTAATTCGGAATTGCGGAAAAAGCGGAAAAAAGAAACGCAGACCCACCTCGACGCGGCGGCGAGGCATCACGAGGCTGT